GGAGGACCAGTGTAATTCCAAGACGCAATACACCATCCCTCCCTCCAGGTTCTCTGCTGGCCCCGAATTAAAAGAATTCGTTGTCATGGCTGGGCGTGGCCTGGGAATTCAGCGCCGCGGATCAACGTGACTGTTGCGCCCTGGCGAGCCTACAGTGCGCCAGCGCGCCATTCCTGGGACGTCAACGCCGCGAGTCAAAGTTACTGTTGCGTTCAAGCAAGCCCAAAATCGCGCAATCGCAACATTCATCGGATCTCGGCCACACGCTCCGCCTTTTCCTCCTCCTCTTCCTCCTCCTCGTCCCTTGCAAACGAGTGTGCGGGGCGCTTGGGGAAAAAAACGCATTTTCCACAAGAGCGGCCATCCATCCTTGCGGTGGTGGCGAACTGTAGCAAGAATGTGCGCGGCGCTCAGGCGATTATCCGTGAGCATGCTGCAAACTTGCAATGCGAGTGTGCGCGGTGCTAGGGTGAGGGCCTTATTTTGAAAACGGACAGCCGTCAATATGTGGTCCTGCAAGCTTTTATTCAAAGCAGCCGCCTCCCCCCATGCGTGCAACGATTGCAGACTTTTGAGACGAATGTGCGCGGCTAAAGATAGAGCAAATTTTTGAAAAAGGCCCGCGCTCCATCCGAGCAAATGTGGGACATTTCAAAAGTCAGGAACAAATGTTTGGCGAAGAATTCTTCGGCGAAACGCCCAGCCAGCCCTACCGACACGTCAAGGGGTTCGACATGGACGAGTTATTCCTTGCACCAGAGAAAAACCCAATCAGCGGATTGTGTGAACATCCGTGATATGGATGTTGAGATCGATCGTGAGATCGATAGTGGGATTGATCGCGGGGGCGATAGTAAGGTCGATTGTGAGACGGACAGTGAAGCCGACTCAGCGAGATCGATCGTGAGACGTTTCGTGAGATCGTTCATGCAGTCTATAGTGATATCGATTGTGAGATCGATATCGAGATCCATCGTGGGATCGATGCTGAGATCGATAGAGAGGCGAGTAATGAGATCGATGGTGAGACCGATCGAACGAGGAGATCGACCAGGAATCCAGGAAGCCAGAAACCCAGGAACCCCGCCGCTCACCGAAATCGCCCCGGAACCAGCATCCGGGAATCCGGGAACCCAGAATCGGGACCCCAGGAACCCGGCCGCCCACCGAAGTCGGCCGGGCACTTTCGCCAAATGTTTCAACATCCGCCAGGACCTTTTCAGTGCACGCAATGATTGGGGAATAAGGAGAAGGGATGGAGGGGGAGGAGGAGGCGGAGGAGCAGGAGGAAAAGGAGGAGAAAGAGGAGGAGGAAAAGGAGGAGGAGGAGGACGACGAGGAGCATGTGTTTTTCCGCGACCGCAGTTCTGCGAGTGACTCGCGTCGCGGTTGCGTGCCTGGAAGACCAGGTCTTCAAAGCCTAGCCCAAGCAACCCGGCTTCAGATAGCGACGGACCACCGCCGCCCCATGCAACCCGCCACTCAGGCGGGGGACGCTGGAACCCAGCTCGACCACCGTGCGGGGCGCATGGCTCGAGTATACACTGTCAGCTCCGACCAGGAGCAATGTCAGCTTGTGGTTGACAAATGGCTACCCCCCCTGGGCTGATGAATCAACCCCGCGGGGCGCGAAACTTTCATTAATCACGCGCGCCAGGGGGTCGTCGCTGGCGCCGCAGAGGGGATCGTGTACCCCCCAGCATGGCAGCCTCAAAACAATTGCTTTTGGTATAGAAGCTGCTATAGGGGTCTACACATCCGAAGCAAACTTATTTAACCGCCTCGCTCATTCCGCCGGCCATGGAGCGCTATTTGGGGCCTCTTGGGGCCGTCTTGGGGGCTTCTTGGGGGCTTCTTGGGGGCTTCTTGGGGGCCTTCTTGGGAGCGTCTTGGGGCTCCTTGGCGGCGTATTGGGCTCCCCTGGGGCCTCTCGGGGGGCTCTTGGGGGCCCCTTGGGGCGGGATGGGAGGTAGTCGTTGGCAGCCCCCCCCTCGGAGGCCACGATCCTCGTGAGGGGTGGCGAAAAATAGCCCCCCCCCTGGGGATCGCTCGGGGGTCAGCCGGGGATCGGCCGGTGTACTTTTCGTCCGGGACCCCCCAGGGGCCGCCCCGCGCGCGCGAACTAGAAATATTGTTAAGTAGTTACCGGAGATCTTAGCATGCCTCTGCCCGTTGGGCCAGCGAATTTCCCCTCCCAGGCATCGTCGTCGTCGTCGTCGCCGTTGCCGCCGTCGTCGTCGTCGTCGTCGTCGTCGTCGTCGTCGTCGTCGCTTTCGTCGTCGTCGTCGTCTTCGTCGTCCTTGTCGTCGTCGTCGTCGTCGTCGTCGTCGTCGTCGTCGTCGTCGTCGCCGCCGTCGTCGAGCACAGGGCCTGCGCAGCACCCCCCCCGCCCCCCGTTGGGCATCCGCAGTGCGTCGTCGTCGTCGTCCCGTCGTCGTCGCCATGGTCGTCGTCGTCGTCGTCGTCGTCTTCGTCTTTGTCGTCGTCTTCGTCTTCGTCGTCGTCTTCGTCGTCGTCGTCGTCAACGTCGCCGCCACCATCGTCGTCGTCGTCGTCGGTCGTCGTCGCCCTCGTCGTCGACAACAGAGGGCCTGCGCAGCAACCCCCCCAGGGCATTCGCAGTGCGTTGTCGTCGTCGCCGCCGCCGTCGCTGTCTGCCGTCCGCCATCCGTCGTCCTCGTCCTCGTCCTCGTCTTCATCCTCGTCCTGGTCTTCGTCGTCGTCGTCGTGGACGACTACAGAGACCACGACTGGGGGGGAGGAGGACTGCCCGCTTTGCTCGGGTCGGGCTAAAAGCTGGGGAAAGAAGGGGGGGGTGCGAAACCCGCTGCGCGCAGCTGGTTTCGGTCGCCCCGTCGAAGGGGCCAGTCCTCGATGCATGTCCGCTTTCGGCGCCAGGGGGCGCTCGGAAAATCAGCAATGTGAGCTGCTGGGCAAATCCCCACTTGGCCACGCCCCCTTTTCATCCAGTCCGCCTTGCTCGCGGGCCCGCGAGGCAGTTGGCGCCCATCTGGACGGAAAGTGCGGGGGCGAGCGCCGACAGCAGTTCTTCTTCATTTCGAACAGGTGTCGTCTAGCTCACGGTCCCTGCTTTTGCCGCCTTTGCCTCCCGCCCCCCTCCCCTCCGACCCCCGGTGAATTCGAGCATCTCTGGCGAAACATCGGGAAACCTACCGGGAGAAGCAGAGGGGAAGGATGAGGGGGAGGGAGGAGGAAGGGGGGGACCATCACGTGGGACTCGTGCCGAAAACGTCCGCACAGCGTCCCGGAGGGAACGGGGGAGGAGAAGGGAGGAATATGGGGTCCAACGGATGCCGAGCATATGCCTGCAATCTTCGCGGCGGAGGGGGGGAGGGATGGGGGGCGGCAGGAGGGGCGCGTAAGAGAGGCGAGGATGAGGCCCCACGTGCGCCGCACATGTCCCGGAACAATATGACGAGGGAGGGAAGGAGGAGGAGGTGCCAGACGACGGACCAGGATGCAGGATGACGGCCAAGAGATCCCGAACGTTGCCGAAAACCTATCTTGACGGAGAGCGGGAACTGGGGAGGAGAAAGGGTTCAGGCAATGAGGGAAAACAAACATTGGCGGCGTCCCAAATATAGAAGCCTACAGGAGGGGGAAGAGAACGACGAAGGAAAAGGATGAAGAGGGGGGAGGACGAAAACGGATGAGGACGAAAGGGGAGGAGGAGGACGAGTAGGACTACGAGGGAGGAGAACGTCGACGGAGCAGGACGAGAAGGACCGAAACCGACGACGGAGAAGGACGAGGAGGATGAGGGAGGAGGGCGACGGGGAAGGTGGACGGGGGGGGGTGAAAACGAGGAGGAAGGAATACGACGAGGGAGCAGGACGAGGACGGATGAGGATGATTCGAGCACGACCACGAGCGAACGCCGCGCGGGCCACCGCTTGCGGGCCACAGCGCGTGGGGTTTCGAGCACGACCGCGATCAGCGGCCCCCAAGAGGCCGACAGTTGACCTTTGGAATTCATCCATGAACCTCCCCTGGGGGCGCCTCGGGATTCATCCAACAACCTACCTGGGGCCGCCCCTGGTTTCACCCAAAAACCGCCCCAAGGGGCGCCCCAGGTTCCATCCAAAAACTGCCCAGTGGGGGCCGCCGAAACGAAATCCAACAACATTCAAAAACTATTTCAAAAACCTGCTTCAAAAACCTGCTTCAAAAACTAATCCAAAAACACATCCAATGTTTTACATATTGCTATGGGCAGCTAGCAAATTTGATGGGTTTTTGGGTTTGGTTTTCCAGCGTGGTTTCTGCGGGGTTTGCGGGTGTCCTCTGGCGGTCGCGTCCGCAGGAGGGCCCGCTGCGACTTGCCGCCAGCACCCTGTGGCGAGCACGCCCAGCCGCCGGACCCCCTGGATCCTCCGACAGGTTGCCTCCAGGTCGCCCGCAGCCTCCCAGGCCCCGCGAGACCCGCCCAGACCGCCACGGGAATTCCGAGGGACTCCGAGCAGCCTTCGCGTGGCCGTCAAGACTCGGAGAGCCCGCCAGAGCCTCCAGGAACGCTTTAGACGTCACTGGAGCCCGGGCGCCCCTCCCCCTTCAGGCCGCCTGAAGCGTCCCGCGACCCCGGGGGCCGTCCGCAATCACCAGCGCATTGCCGAGCCTACGTGATCGGCGCGAAGCCTGCGCGCTGTCCTGCGCCGCGAGGGCATCCTGGGAGCCCCGCGGGCCCGTCCACCTGGGTGGCCGAGCGTGGCTCGCGGCTGTATCCGAGGCGCGGCCACTAGGGGCCTCCGAGAAACCTCCGGAGACCCACATCTGGCCGCGGAGTTCCACGGGGGCTTCTGGATGTCGCCGCCGTCGCCGCCGACGCCGCCGTCGAAAGTGCGCTGTTTTGGGGGGCCTCTGGGGGCCCGTGGGCCCCTGGAGGCCCCCGGAGGCTGCCTGTGCGCTTCGGACAGATTGGGGGTCGTGTTCGTCCTCTGCTCCAGGGCGCGAGCAGAGCCCCGGTCACTTGGGCAGCGCGCCTCGCGCCCCGTCGATGCGGTTGCGCACGACGGCAGGGCCTCCATCCGCGGTTGCACATATCTCCGTGGGCTCCGCGAGTGACCAGGCCCCTTCGGCCCCGTCTATGGCCGCACCTTCGCTGCCAAGCCAACGGCAGAAGAAATGTTTCAATCTGGCGCGCCAGAAGTTGACGATGCGGACGGCCACGTCGTCGGTGCATGTCTCCGCGTTAAGGGTAATGGTGCGCTGAGTCCTCGTGGGCCTTGAGAAATCTGGCGCCGGCCCTGCTCGCGCCGCGGTTGGCATCGCGCGCGACCCCGAGGTGCTCGAGCGGCCAGCGCGCTCCACAAATGGATAAGTAGAAGGGGCCCCCGACGTCCCCGACGGCCGTGGCCGCATGATTTCGAACGTCCCATAAATCGAACAGTGCGTTATCCGCAATGCGGCAATGCGTTCCCCCGCCTGTGCGGCCGCGTCGAAATCGCGTCTGCCCGAAGCGGGCGAGCGGTGAGACACCGTCGGGTTTCGTGTTCTTGGTCGTCGGCGACGCGCTGTCGCTGATGCGCGACAGTTGGGTCGCGGCCGTCAAGGCGAAGCATATCCCGTGCAAAGCAGGCCGCGTTGATGGCAGCGGGCCGCGCGACCCTGCGCGCGGGAGCAGCAATTTGATGACAACGTTTTGCATGCTGGTCCGTGATGACGCATTGCCCCAGGACCAGAGGAATGACGATGATAATGGTGATCATGATGCTGATCAGGATGATGATGGCGATGGTGGTGGTGATGATGATGATCACAATGACGATGACGATGGCGATGGCGAGGCTGCTGATGATGCTTATGCGGATGATGATGATGATGATGCTGATGATGATGATGATGATGATGATGATGATGATGATGATGATGATGATGATGATGATCACGAGGATGATGATGACGATGATGTTCAGGATGATTATTGTGGTCATGGTGATGATGGTGATGGTGGAGCTGATTATGACGATTATGATGATCACAATGGCGATGTTGATGGCGATGACAATGAGGAGGTTGATGAGGATGGTGATGAGGAGAAGGAGGAGGAGGAGGAGCAGGACAAGGAGGAGACAGAGGTGGAGCCACGAGGCTTTGGTGAACCCCACTCCACCCGGCGCCCCGCCGCCGCGCGCCCGCTCCGCAGCCCACCGCCATGGACGAGGACGTCGCTGCGGAGGCCCGGCGCGCCAGGGTCCGCTCCGTCGTCGTCGCGCCACTTGCGCGCAGGTCGCCGAGAGCAGGTATTTTCGAACTCCCAGGTCCCAATCTGCACTGGAGACTCATCCCAAGAACCAATTACCCTGCCTCCAGTGTGTCCTGGGTTTCTGGGGGGTCGATGGTTTTGCCATCGGAAGCGTGACGTTCCCACACCAAAAATCCATGGACGTCCTGGGGTCTCAGGGTTGGGTCTCTTGTGGAAGATTTCTTGTGGATTGGCCTCCACTGTACTTCATGCGCTGTCCTATTCCAAAAATCGGCATGCTTTTGTAGCGTGTTCTTGTTATGTGGGCGGGCCCGAACTCAATCTGATTTGTCCGCCTTCCTGCCTCATGTTTCCACCTGCTTCCTCCGACTGGCGGGTCGCCCCACTCTCGTGGGTGCCTCCTGGGAGCCTCTTCTGGACCTCTTTTGGGCTGTTCCTTTGGGGTCTTGAGGTGCGTCCTCCAGGGAAGAGTAAGAATCTGTCATTTCACTTAGCTTGGGTCTGTGAGGAGCCATGAATTCCTAGACCCTGTCGTCCATATACATACAACAAACCCATGCCGATCAGGCCAAGGAGCTTGTTAATTGCGAAGGGTTGAGGGTAGGATATGGAGGAGGAAAGGCAAGAGGAGGATTGAGGGAAGAGGAAGAGCTGGGAGGGAAAACAAGAGCAGTGCGGAAGCGGACGAAGAGGAGGCGGGGGAGGTTGGATGATGATGATGACGATGATGTTGTTGATGATGATGGTGATGAAGTTGATGATGGTGTTGATGATAAGAATGATGTGGATGATGATGATGATGATGATGATGATGATGATGATGATGATGATGATGATCACGAGGACGATGGTGATGATGATGCTGATGATGCTGATTATGATGGCGAGGATGATGATCATGATTATCAGGATGATGACTGTGGTGATTATAATGGTGATGATGATGAAGGTGATGATGATAATGGTGATGACGACGGCCATGATGATGTTGATGACGACCATGATGTGGACGATGACGCTGATGCTGATACTGATGCTTATACTGGTGATGACGCCGATGAGTCCGATGGCGATGACGATTATGGTGATGTATGAGGATGTTGTTGATGATGCTGATGATGGTGTTAACAGTGATGAGTATGAGGAATACGATGCGAATGATGCTGATGACGATGGTGGTGATGGTGATGACCATGCTGATGACGCTGATGGTGATGTTGATGCTCATGCTGAGAATGCTGATGACGACGATGAAGACGGCAATGGTGATGGTGATGAGGTTGATGGTGATGCAGATGATGATGATGATGAGGAGGATGATGATGATGATGATGATGAAGATGCGGATGATGATGAAGAGGCTGATGTTGATGCGGGTGCTGTTGATGATGATGATGCTGACGATGATGATTTTGATGCTGGTGGTACTGATGATGATGATGCTGATGATGATTATGATGATGATGATGATGATGATGATGATGATGATGATGATGATGATGATGATGATGAATGATAATATGCTGATGCTGATGCTGCTGGTGCTGTTGATGGTGCTGTTGATGATGATGGCGACTACGCGGCTGCTGATGATGATGGTGATGGCGATGATGATGATGATGATGATGATCATGATGATCATGCTGATGATGATGATGATGATGATGATGATGATGATGATGGTGATGGTGATGGTCATGGTGATGTCGATGGTGATGCCGATTATTCTTAGTGAGGCTGACGATGCAGCTGAGGCTGATGCTGACGGCTCGCTGCTGGTGGTGAAGATGACGATGATGAGGACGGTGATGGTGATGGTGATGGTAACGGTGCTGATGATGATGAGGATGATGGTGATGCTGATGATGCTAATGATGGTGATGATGAGGAGGATGATGACGGTGGTGGTGATGATTGAGTGTATGATGATGTTGATGGTGATGACGATGCTGCGGATGATGTTGCTGATGATGATGGTGATGGTGGTGATGACGATACTGAGGATTCCAGTTATGGTCATGCCGACGATGATGGTGATGATGATGATGATGATGATGATGATGATGATGATGATGATGATGATGTTGTTGACGACGATAATTTTGATGATGATGCTGACGATGATGATTATGATCAGATGATGATGCTGATGATGATGGTGATGACGAGGATGATGGTGTTGATGCTGATGGTGTGTATGATGAGGAGGAGGCTGATGATGATGATGCTGCTGACGATGCTGGTGATGATGATGATGCTGCTGATGATGATGATGATGATGATGATGATGATGATGATGATGATGATGATGATGAGGCTCAGGATGAGGAGGAGGAGGAGGAGGAGGAGGCGGAAGGCTGCACATGGAGGAGGATAATCAAGAGGAAGTGGAGAAGAGAAGGAGGAGTTGCTGAGGATTCGCTCGTAACGAATAGTCGAATCGGCCGAAGGCGAGGCGACTACGCTCGAAAACGGAGGTGCCCTTCATCCCAGGCTTGTCCTGGGCAATCTGAGGCCTCCGAAACTCTGATTCGTGGTGGGGTGTCTGCCCTGCCACAAACGGTTCAAACGCCCAGCTAGGACCCGAGGATTTCCCCCTGGACAGTTGGTCATTAGACCCCTCCATCGGCTTGTGGCGTACCTTGCGCACTTCCGACATAATACTACTGCTTGAAGGCGCACCGTCTGGTGGCCTTCGGCTTGGGCCCACTGGATCAATTCTCCGAGCCCCACGGGAGGCCAGGGAGGGGGGTCCACACGGCCTTGTGAGGGCGGTGGAGTGCCAGTTGGGCTCTCCACTCCCTCACTGGGCGTCGATGCGGGGGCGGGGCTGCCCTGGGCCCCAAAGGGCCCAGGGCCCTCGGAGGTGTCCTCGAGCCCGTGGCCGAGAACCCCGACGTGCGCGGCGAATTCCAGAATATCTGAGACCAACTGGAACCTCTGGACATACGCGGCCCTGTACCAGGCCTCGTGCTGGTGCATGTGCGCCCCACGCTTTGCGTAGGCGTCTGCTATTTTATTCCCAATGAACTGCTGGGGCCCTATCATGGCTCTTTGGGCCCTAGTGGCGTGGGCTCGGACTTTACAAACGCTTATCCCTTGCTCACCTATCCCGCCGTTTTCCTGCACGAGCCGCCAGCATTCCTGCCAGACCTCTTTGTGGGTCGTGTCGGCTCTGGCGACCCACTCGGGGCCTCTGGCGAAGCCGTCGATCACCGATTGGCAGTCGCTGTAGACCCGCACTGGAGGCACCGCCCTCCTCACGGCCTGGAGGACCGCCGCCAGCTCGCTCTTGTAGATCGACTGGTCGTGCTGCGATCCCTCCAGTGGCCCGAACAACGCAAACTCCATCATGTGCTCGCTGTCGAGCTTCACGACGGCCCAGCCACCTCTTCTCAGCGCTGGGTATGCCCCGTACAGCAGGCTGCCGTCTGTGTAGATGTCCCCGTGCACGAGGCCGTCGAAGGTGCCCTCCACCTCGCATGTGGATGAGGAGGGCAGGCTCCAGAGGTCATACTCCAGCGCTGGGTCCGCTGCGAGCCCTCTGCCCCAGAGCGCTTCGGAGGTCGCACGCTGCTTCTCCGTCGCTCCAGGCCACGTCATGGCACCACGCTGGCATATGTGGTGCCCTCCCACTCGTCGTCGGTGATCCTGCCTGGCCGAGCACACGAACGTCCTGTGGCGGTCCGTCCCTTCGTGCTCGTGGCAGGCCTTGCATGTGCTGTCCTCTGCGGCACCCTTGTCGAAGAGCCGCCGCTGCGGCCAGGTGCCGCCGCACCACAGGTTTCGCACCCGTGTCTGGTGCTCCAGAGTCCACTTCATGTTCAGCGGCCCCTTGAGCAGCGCGGCGACGGGCTCCACGAAGAGGCTGTCCAGGCCGTGCTTCTCGCCGTGGATGCGCAGCCAGTCGCTCTTGAGGCCGTTCTCCGTGGCCGTGCTGATGCGCTGCCTCAGGTGTCTGAGCGGCAGCGTCCTGAGGTCTAAGTGCTCGTCGCCGATGGTGATGCTGTGGGCCGCGAGCGTCTTCCAGCCCAGCCTCTGCACCGTGGCGATGAAGGCCCCTGCGGGCCCTCGCACCTGCTGCCAAGAGAAGGAGGAGGAGGAGGAGGAGGAGGAGGGTGAGGAGGAGGGTTGATCAATGTCAGGGAAGAGGAGGGGGAGGACCAGTGTAAACCCAAGACTCATCAACGATATGACCATAAACTCTCCCTCCAGGTTCCTTCTTCACAGGCCCCTGCGAGATTCAGTTCCACTGAGGGAAGTGCTCTGTTGGAAAACCACCTGGATCTCTGGAACGGTGCCAGAATACCATTCTGGGCTTTCAACGCCGCGAATCTTTGTTCCCTATCTAGGCTCTGCCTAGAAGGGTTCTTACTCGGTATGCTCAAAGGGCCGGGCAGTGCAACTCGCCCCGGGAGGTTCCCCCAGTATCCGCCCCGCGGTTCCCCCAGTTACGTCCCCTTAGCTTAGCGTTGCTTATCTCATCTTAGCTTAGCTTGTTTCATCTTAGCTTAGCTTCATCTTAGCTTAGCTGAGCTTCATATAGATGTTGCTTTCCTAGATCCTCCAACTCCTGGGTAGGGTCGCACTGGGATAATTACTGAACCATTTTGGGGATCCTGACTCGTGCCAGAATACCGTTCCTGGGACTTCAACATAGTGAATCAACGTGACTGTTGCGCCTTGATAGCCCGACATCATGCCAAAACAGCATTTGGGGGACATTAACCATGACAATCGTTCAACTGTTGCAAACTCTTAAGACGAATGTGCGCGGCACTGAGGCGAGAGCCACACGTTGAAAAGGAAACGCCCTCCATCTTTGAGACTCCTGCAAATGTTTAAGACGAATGCGCGCGGCGCTAACGCGAGAGCCACATCTTGAAAACGGAAGAGCCTGAATTCCGTACAACGATTTGCATTTGTTGGACGAGGTGCGCGGCGCTAAGGCGAGAGCCACGAGTCTCAGGCGAAAAGCCTGGCCCGCCCTTTCGACCGGCCTCGGGGTGCCACAGGAAGGAGTCGTGTATAAGAAAGACGGATGGAGAAGGAGGAGGAAGGAGGAGGAGCCTGAGGCGGAGGTTCCAGATTCTGTGGGCAGCGTGGTACCTCGCAGTGAATCGGCATTTGCATAGTATTTGCCGTATCCTGCCTCCCACTAGCATTGACCATGCCGATCCCATGCCGGTCGTGCCAAGACCATGGTGGACAATTTCGAAGGGAAGAGGAAAAGGAGGGGGAGGAGGAGGAAAAGGAAAAGGAAAATGAGGAGGGGGCGGAGGGGGCGCAGGAGGAGGAGGAGGAGGAGGAGGAGGAGGAGGAGGAGGAGGAGGAGGAGGAGGAGGAGGAGAAGAAGAAGGAGTAGGTGGAGTAAGGGGGCAAGGGAGAGAGGGATAACGAGGGAGGAGGCATGAGGAGGTTCAGGAGGTGGAGGGAGGAGGAGGAGGATTACAAGGATCAGGAGCTGCAGAAGCGGCAGGGAGGGGGTCCTGGGGGAGGCAGGAGGGACCAGGAGGAGGAGGAGGAGGAGGAGGAGGAGGAGGAGGAGGAGGAGGAGGAGGGGGAGCAGGGGGGAGGAGGAGGGTGCACGCGCGCACTCTCTGCGCTCGCCTCCTCGGTGCCAGGGGGGGGGGCGGCCTGGGGTGCACGCGGCGCGCGGAGGTGGCCGCCGTGGCGGCCGCCGCGGGCATCGACCCGAGTGAGATGGCCGGCCACCCGCAGGCCGAGCCGCACGACTCGAGCAGTGGCGAAGCGTCCTCCGCGTTCCGCAATTGTTTCGCAGTTTGCCTCAGGTTTTCCTTAGCTTTTCGATGCGAAAATCGAAGTTTCACTTATGGAAAAAAGGGGCCTCGTTCCTTTCTGAGGGTTCCTTACGGGTCGCCCCCCCGACTGTAGGACTGTGGAGGGATCAAAGGCGAAGCGTCCTGGCGTGCCTATAATATCGGGTATGGCCAGGACCCCAGGTAAGGGGACCCGGTTAGTGGTTGGGACCCAGAGCCCCTGAATCGGCCAGAATCACTAAACCAGGTTTGCCGTAGCCAGTGATTTTTCGAGTTACGGCAGTTCCGGTTAGTGGAACGGGGCGGGGGGGGCGTCCCCCAGTACACATCACTAAGCCAGGTCCCACTGAAGCCGGTTCTGCCAGCATCCTACCAAACAATGTTCTAAGAATTTTTTTGGTCTGCAGGAAATAGATATTTCCGGCTGGGGCTGTCCTGTTTTCACACATCGGGCTTGTGTTCTATGAACACTGCTGTTGTTCTTAGATCACCTTCGGGTTCTAAGAACATTTCGTGGTATGCCTATAGAAATGCCGGGACGGTCGGTCCCTGCTCAAATGACTGTGGGCACTCTGGGGTGGTACTCTGGTTTGCCCCTCTTGCCGCTCCTCGTTCCGTCGTTGCCCTGCGAATGATCTACCCTCCTGGCGTGTTTCATTTCCATTATGTTTCGCATTGGTTGGTTGCCCATTGCATTGTGCTGGCTGGGCCCACGGCGCAGAGCGGCGCCACGGCGCCAACTTGCCAGGCCACCGCCAGCCCTCCTGTGGTAAGTCCTGTCTTGCCCTGTCCTGCTTGGAGTGGGAAATGAGGGGGATGGCACGCCGCTGGGGGGAACAGAGTGGAAAGAGTCGACCAAGAACCCTTGGGTCATCAGGGCTCGTTTCGATTCCTCCGACGATTCGATTCGACTTCGATGGCTTACGAATCCGATTCGATTCGACTTGAGGTTCCGATTTGGGTTCCGACTTCTCGTTGGAGGCATATCAGCTTGCCGATGTCCGCCGATTCGACTCCTCCCGACTCGGCTGCCGATTCCGCTGATCCGATTCGTTTTGACTATCGATCCGATTTATCGATTCGATTCTGGGCTCTCCAGGGGGATGACACGCCACTGCGGGGAAAAGTGGAGATAGAGAGAGAGAGAGAGAGTCGACCCCCAAGCCCTCTGTCATCGAGAGCAACAGAACCCCTACTTAACCCTAAGAACACGATGAAGACGTGTCCTCACTGAGATCCCCGTCGTCGCCTTAGGGGTAATCATTCTGGGCGGTTTGGCTTGGCACATCTGCAGAAAAGACCCTCTATCCCTAATGTTGTTGGCCCTCCTGCCTTACATCCCTTCCTAAAGGGCGAGGGGTCCATCACAGAGAACCTTCCTTGTCACCCTGGGTGGCTTTGACTGGCCACCCGCGGGCTAGCGGCAGGACCCTTCAAGGAAGACATATCTCAGGAGGGAAGGAAACACACAGACCCAATTCATCGTCGACTTCCAGGGAAATATGGGATAATTTGGGAAGTGGGGGGGAAGACGAAAACCCAGAAAATACTGGAAAATATTGGGAATCCTGTTATTCGTGTGTATTCATTTGTGTGTCCCTGGACTCCTTTAATATCGTCATCCTCCACAGCATGATCGAACTTCTCACGAAGAGCTTCCCCACGCTCACGGGCTTCGCGTTCGTAGGCGGATGAAGGGGGAGGGGAGGGAGGACTGGGAGGACAGGCAGGAGTCCAGCGGGAGGGGGATGGGGAGTGACGTAGAAATTGGGTTTCGGAACGACATGTCGGAATACTCTGGATGCCCGTTTTCTGTATTTTTGTTTAGTGCTCGAGCTTCTTTTGCGCGGTTTCCATATCGAATTGTTCGTTTGATCCGGCTGGTGAACCAGCCTCAGGCGAGAGCCTTGGAGGAAAAAAGAGAGACTCATTTCCATACTCATTTGTGTATTGAAGTTGATTTGCCGATCATCTTATTTCATTCACTCTCGCGAGTTACCCCGACGAGGTCGACACGAGAGGGAGGGGGGGGAGGGGGTGCAAGGGGCTGTGGGTCTCGTCGGCGTTCGGTCGGTCATCTGGTGTTGCTGGAGGTTTCCAGAGATTCCTGGGCGAATGTCTAGGAGCTCAAGTTCTCTGAGACCACACAACGCGCGTGATTTGGCTGGATGGGTGGGTGGGTCCGCTGGCACATCACATAACACGTTGCGCACGCACTACGGACAGCATACCTGCGCGCCAAATAGCAGGCGTTGCTGCAACGGGGGCGGGTGAAGCGGAGTGCGTTATGTTATCTACTGGGTGTGGGGTTGGAGGCCACATAGCGCGCGTTATGTGCTCGAGTAAAAAAAGTTCAGCTCCTAGGTCACCCCCTAGGGGTGCGAAAATATCGCGCTTCGCGGCCTTGTGATGTCGGCCCGGCCTGCGTCGGGGGCGTGGGCAAGCGCGCGTCGTAGCCAGCGAGCATAACTAGCTTGAGCCGAAGCCAACTCGAGGAGGAAAAGGGGGTGGTGGAGGAGGAGGACCAGTGCAAGCCCAAGACCCATCAAGGATGTTGTAGTACACCCTCCCTCCAAGTTTACTTTTCACATGTCCCTACGAGGTTTTATTTTCGCTGAGGGAAGAGCCTCGTGGGAACCGTCTGAAAGTCCTGAACCGTGACGCGAAAAAAACATTTCCTGGGATTTCAACGCCGCGAATCCACGTCGTGCTTGCGTCCGGACGATCCTGAACCCTGCCAGAAAAACGTTCTTGGGACTCCAACACCGCGTTTGCGCCCTGGCAGTCCTGCATCGCGCCGCAGCACCACCTCATGGGGCGCTGGCCATCGTGATCCTTGGCGCTGGCGTTGCACTCTTGAGACGAGCGTGCGCGGCGCCAGGGCGGGGCCCACATTCTGCACGGTAGCCGCCCTCCATCCGTGAGGCTCTCGTGAGCTCGTCGATGAGTCTGCGCGTCGCTATCGCGAGACCCACGGTTTGAGAGCAGTCCGCCCTCCATCCACGAAGCTCTGGCAACGTTTTCAAGGCGACTGTGCGCGGCGCCGAGGCGCAGGACACACCTTGAACACGGCCTGCCTGCATCCGCGAAGCTCCAGGGGAGTTTGAAGACACACGTGCGCGACGCGAGGGCGGGAGCCACACTTTGAAAGCCACACTTTGCAAACGGACGCCCTCCATGCTTGAAGCTCTGGCAAAGTTTTATGACGAATGTGCGCGGCGCTAAGGCGAGAGCCTCTTTTTGAAGACCACTCGCTTTTCAGCCATGAAACTGTTGCAAGCTTTGAGCTTCAGGGTTATACATGGGGTGGAGGTCTCAGGCGAAACGCTTGGCCCGTCCTACCGGCACGTCTCGGGGTGCGACTCGGAAGAGTTATTCATAAGGAAAGGGATGAGGAAGGAGGGGGTGGAGATGGAGGAAACGGAAGAGGTGGAGGAGGAGAATGAGCAGGAGGAGGAAGAGTAGGAAGAGATGTACGACGACGACGACGACGACGACGACGACGGTGACGACGGCGAGGGAGACGGTGGCGGCGGCGGCGGGGACGACGACGAGTCGAGGCCAGGGCCCCGAGAGAGGGTGCGGACGAGGCCGAGCAGGTCCGTGCGCCCATCGCGTCCTTTGAGGACGCGCCGCGCGCCAGCGCGATTCTGCCGCCGCCGCCGCCGCCTGCGCCGCCGTCGTCGTCGTCGTCGTCGTCGTCGTCCTCGTCGTCGTCGTCGTCGTCGTCGCGATCGTCACTCGAGCCGTCGAGGCTGGAGGCGTCTCTTTGGCTGCACGGGGCCCTCTTGGACCCCCTGGGCCGTCAGGGATGGCCCGGGGTGAAAAGTTGCCCAGGATGGACCCCGGGAGGCTTCGAGGGACCAATCGTCGTCGTCGTCGTTGTCGTCGTCGTCGTCGTTGTCGTCGTCGTCGTCGTCGTTGTCGTCGTCGACGTCGTCGTCGTCGTCGTCGGTGTGGTAGTGGTGGTGGACATGAGTTCGCCTGCCAAGACGTACGCCATGGAGGACGGCGCCTCCTCCCTCGGGAAAGACCAGCGCCAGCAGAAACAGGCCCCGGCCAAAGAGCTGCACCTGGGGACGCGCGCGGCCCAAGACACTGCAGCTTACGCCACCCAGCGCGCTCAAGTCCTCCTCCTCCTCCTCCTCCTCCTCCTCCTCCTCCCCGTCCCCCCCCCTCCTCCTCCCTCCTCCCTCCGCCTCCTCCTCCTCCTCCTTCTCCTCCGCTGAGGAGCCGGAGGTTTACGCAATCCGCTGTATGCAGCTGGTCTTGGCCCGGCCGCATGGCAGTCTCCTCGATGAGTATAGTGGCGCCTCCGGCGCCAGAGGTGCTGGGAAAATCCGCTGCGTGAGCTGATTCGCCCCTCCCCTTTGCGAATTCATCCTTTCGTCCGACCCGGTCCAACAACTGTGGGACTCGAATGTAGGGCGATTTTCTGTAAAGCCTACCACTTGCATTCAGATGTCTTCGCATTTCATGCGGTCATGGAGCTGCGACATCCCAACATTTAGAGACCGTTTTTTATTTACTGGTGATAGCGGGCGCAATGGGGGGGGGAGGGGCTCGGTCACGTCACGATTCGCGGCGGACCCGTGTGGGAATGCTTAAGGATGGCCCATTTCTAGACGGCGCCGGCGCGAATCGTGACGTGACCAGGGCGGGGGGAGGGGGAGGGAGGGAGGGGGCGGGGCTGGTCACGGGCGTTATCGGGAATGATACATGTTGAAGGTTCCTACACAGACAGAGGGCGGCTCATGTTCAAGTTCTGCCCCCTCAGCGCCGCGCACATGTTGCTGAAAGCTTCTGCAATCCGCGTGCATGGCTTGAGGGCATGACATGACAATGATCATGATGTTATGTATAGTGAACATCCTTTGCGATAGGCCTGCGAGCATGGAGGCACCCGTATCTGAGAGTTTTTATGCGCTGATCCTCAGGGTTGGGTGGTGAATGGTCGATTTGTACCATGATCGTTGCTGTTCCCTCCCTCAGTACGTCAGTCATCTTCGATCCAATCGATCCTATTCGGTATCGGCTCCGATGCGGTTTGATTATGGTATTTGACGATCCGATGCAGCCCGATGCTCGCCATGCGTTGATTTGCATCCTGGCGCATCCGATGCGATCCGATTTTGACCCCATACCGATGCAGCCAGATCCGACGCACATTCTGGTTCGATCCGATTTCCCGATTCGATGCTGAACGGTCGGCGAGCGAGGAGTGATCGGGGGCAGCGATGTGTTTGGCGATGCCCCATTTCGAATCGTGGGCGACGGGGAGTGGGAGCGCCTCCGCCCGCGTCACCAGTGGCCCCGCGACGTCGCCTCGCTGCCATGCCGCAGCACATGCACCATGGAGGTGCAGTCCATCGATCTGTTTCGCTCGACGCCGAGATATCTCCGGCCCCGAGGCACGGAAGGCTCGGAGATCTACCGTGCAGTGCCCGGGGGGTGGGCGGCTGCCTGCGCTCACCGAGCACGTCCCACTGCTCGCGGA